GGTTAATATGTAATCAAACAAGCCATATAAAATGTTATATTTTGATTTGTATTACATGCCGTACATTACATAGAGAAGCACACACCACTTTTCGATTATAGAGTATAAAAATAATAATTACATAAGTAGAAATGATAACCATAACAATAAATAATTGATTGGTTACCAATAAATAATCCCAATAATTGGTAACCAAGAATTTTAAAACTGGTAAAACGTAGTTCCTCGTAAACAGCAATTCCATCATTTTCACTTTGTGCGAAAAAATCATCTTATTTCAGATAACCTCTAAGATAACTTGGTAGGAAATCAGATGTTTAAGAGGCAGTCATACCTCTTATTTATGATTCCCAATTAGAAACAATTTTTTTTGACGAGCATAAGGAGAACAGTTTTCATGTACAAGACTAGCATCTAAGAGAACATGAATTTAATAACTTAAAATCATTAATTTATCCATTAACAATCATTAGGAACGACGCTGAATTGTGCACTTTATTAAACTAATTTGAGTTTAAGTTGAAATGACGTAACTCTACTTGTCGTTGTCTTGTTGTTACAGAAACAAGTTTAACGATGTTATTATAAAATGATTCAAGTAAATTTAGTCATTTACATTTGTAATTTACAATTGATTGAGCATTGATATTTCAACCTACTTTTTTGCATTCAACAACTGTTTTTTTTGTTCAGATGATATTGAATATTAAATCCTAAAGGTACTAGGGGTTGTTCTAAACAACGTGAAACAATTATTCAATGTCGTGGTTCTGAACCAGGACAGTTGATAGAATTTGTAAATTATACACTAAATCATTTAACAAGTTGCAAAATTTTCTAACATCAGTAAAACAATATCATTAGTCCTTGAATTTTCAAAAGCAATGCCATCAAAAACAGAAAAGTAAATTTTTAAAGTCACAACTGCCTTAAAATATAATTCTGGACTTTCGACAACAAAGGGCAAATTTTTGGGGTACTATTAGCGAACTAGTAACTTTACTAATATGACCTATTAAAGAAATGGTTACAGACTGCCATAAAGAAGACTTCTTTTATACGATACAATAAAGATTCTATATGTACTTACATTACGGAGTTTTATATGTATCGGTAAGAAGATTTTAAATATGTTTATATCTTCAATTTCAAACACAAAACCATTTACCATATTGCATGTCGTAATAAGGTTTTAAACTACAATTTAAGCCAAACCACTCATAAGAAAATTATTAAACCCCTTTCAGTGACTTTACATAAGAGAGGAACATACAGACACAAATAAAAATATTTTATTTTTTTAAATTAGTAATTTTATACTTTTCTATGGCAGTGGTTTAAACATTAAATTAATATTTATAATACTATTTTAGGGAAACAATTTCAAGAACTAGTAAATATTCATGCAAGGATTTCTGGATAAAAAACATTGTACAAAAAATAATTTACTAGAAGCCAAGGCCACACAGAGCACTTGATTACTTGTAATTTTGTACACGTCTTAAATCCCACACTTGCAACGAGTTTGTTCATTAACCGTCGTAAATAAGTCGCAAACTTTCGCTAACTTAATTATATCGTCGAGTCAGGAATTAGTCCGTTAAGCTCGGAACGTATTTAGGCTTTTACCAACTTCATCTTTGCTATCTATGATTTACGTAGCCTCAAAAATGATATGCCGAAAATTGAAATCAAACTTCTCAAATTATTTTTTCTGTTAAGTTCGTTGATATGCCGCATTTCAGATATGACATATTATAGCTCAAATTAGAGAAAGACAATTGAAAATAGAAACATTAGTGGGATAAAATATTTAAAACCAATAAAAATCACGGCATGCCATTCCCATATAATGCTGTGTGGACTACTAAAACCCCACCTTAACCATACTAGCATCACGTTTGATACTATTTAATGTTATAAGTAATTTATATAATCTTGTTCTACAATAAGTTTAAATAGTAATGAAGTTTCAAATTATTATTATTTTATTACAGGATGCAATCTTCACATATGTATATTAGTAGTAACAACTGTAGTTCGTGTTTCTAAAAACAAAACTTTTTAAAATTGATTAGTTATTACATTACAAATATAAATCAATGCGTTTTTTGCAACCGAATTACGACATAATCCCGCTGTCTGATAATAATTACAGCCAGTGTATTTAACTCATTTTATTTGATTGTGATCAACATTTGAATAAAATGGTTTAGGAAAGTGGGTTTGCGGTTGGTGCTTAGTCATTTATTTGCTAAGCAAATTGTTTTATTGATCGAATTGTTTTAATTTTTTTAGATATATACACTTACACTATAAAAGTAACTTTGTTTTTTATTATTGATAATAAAACGGATGCAATATTTTATATATGTATATTTAGAATAGTCTAAGAAAATTAATAAAAAATAATATTCCTATATATCAGCACCGCAACCTTAAATGTTTCATAAGCACTCTTCTGTTATGAAAGAATTATAAAGATCAAAACAATGGTAAAACTTTGTTAAAGACATTGTTTTGTACATATTTAAAAAATATACCGCAAAACATTGTAAGAAACAGAAAAGAAAACAAACGCTCATTATTTTGAAACAAGCACATGAATGATACTTGTTATACGTAATGACAGTTTTCTTGAAAATATTTTTATAATTCGCATTCACAAGCTTAGAAAAGCAGGTACTTCAATAAAAAATATATAATAAATTATATTATGGAACTGCACAAATTTTATTATGAAACTGAACAAATTATATAATTATGTAAAATTTTTGCATATTACTCATTTATTTACGAATCGATTAATACGTTTTATAGCAATAGATTTTAAATTAGACGAAATAAATTCAACAAATAAAAGTTTAAATTTAATATTGTGATATTAAACAAAAGCAAAAGCAAAAAATGATTACTGAGCAAACATATATAAAAACTTTTTAATAGGTTAAAAAAATGTTTCGTTAAAACATCCTGGGCTAGTAAAATTTTTGTTAATACACGATACTTTAGACTTGGGCAATAAATACAAGCTTGCGCGTCGTAAACCTCAACTAAACCGCTTAAGTGTGACGTGAAATTAACCCCAAACATTGCTTGCAACGTTTCCGTTTAAGTTCACAGTAAATCTCTTACATACCGACTTACGTAAGACCAAATATCGCTATAAAAACTGAGATTCAATTAACATATCTGAACATATTTAGGATAATAGGACAGCGAGCAAGAGTATTGTTTTCTGATTGTAACTTTGTAAATTTCTGCTTTGAAGGAAAATTTAGTTTATTACAATTCATCGTCGCTATTAAACTACCAATTAGAGTATGTATAAAAATAGCATTTTAAAACTAAAGTGATTAAAATTAAATTTAATGTTTTTAGTGATTACAATAAGAAAATCTGTATACAAAATATAAGAAAATATGTACAAACAGAAAAATGATATACAAACACAGGTTTATTTAATATTACGAAAAGAGAGCAAACTATATTCGTGACTTATGAAAAAAAAATGTTAAAAAGTTGTCTTCAGTTTTCAGAGATATATCTAATATTTTATACATATCATTTTATCACAATGGTATAATGTTTTAATGACCTGATGGTAAATTTTTTCAAAGAAATAATTCTTGAGAACGTTCATTTTCTATTAAAAGAAGAATCTCCAATTATACTTATTGATTTTTTCCTTATTTTTTTTAAATAATTCTTATAAATAACAATCTTTCCGGAGGTGTTTTTGATGGCAGTCTTTGTTAAAAAATATATTTAATATACATACAGAAATCAATATGTAAAATCTCTATATTAAAGACGCTTTATGTGTTATACGGGTAGCTTAATTAAAAATAAAACCATAGTATTTTATATTTTCCTTTCAATGATGATTTTATGAATTATTATATTACACCTCCATTATACATATGTATATTCTTTCGTGTAGATATAATCTTAACAATGATAGTGTAGTTTTTTGTAATATCCTTTAAGTAATCGCTTATTACTTTTGCTCTTAGTTATAAAACATAATATATTATTTGAAGAGTATTGACGTACACTTACAATTTGATTGAATGTAAGAAAAACTATCAAAGGAATAAATAAAATAAACGAAATCCATAATGCAACTACAAAAGATACATTAACCAATTTGAAACTTTATATTCCATGGAAAAATTGTATTGGCACTTTTTCTTATTTTGTTTTGTCTATAAGACTTTCAGAAGTGCCATATTTTTATCTCCACTTGTCTGAAAGGCTGAAAACTTTCAAGTGAACTCGTACAAAACATGTGGCAACTGTAACATAACTTTAAACTCAACCGTTACTTTTGACAAACATATATTGCACAAGCTTTACTCGTAACTTAAAAGATAAACGTAAACTAAGAAAATATTTATTTTCAAATATGAAATATTTAAGTGCAAATATATTGCTATAACATTGACCTCACGACGCTTACCTTAGAATTAGATTACGCGGTTGTGTTTGTTTGACTTAGAATGTTTTCCATGAGTATGATAAAATTTCATTTACCGAAACACTTTTTCGGAGAATAATAATACTAGATTCTTATAAAACGCCAACAGTCAGTACAATATACAGAAATGCTAATTAAATTACAGTGATGTGCAAACATTGTTTTCATTTTGCCATTGAGAATTTAAGTCCTAAACAAAATATTAAAACTTGACAAATTCTAGCCAACTAAATGATAAGAACAAAGGGTAATAATTGGCAATAGTAGCCTTTATATTTTTCTTCTATCCTTTTATATATGTTCAACAATATTTCGTTAATAAATTACGTAATTCATACATTTAGTATTGATACAATCTAATTGATACAAGTAACCTACATAACATGTTCACTTACAGCTTTGTATAGCCTTTTCTTTATTTGAACATATTCACTGTAAATCCTAATTAATACATAGAGTGGGACCAAAATTCGTAAATAAAATTATAATATTATTAGTCATACGTGAAGCGGTTAGTCTTTTGGTAGCCAGAGCGCAAAAGGAAATAACCACAAACGAACGATCAGTAGGTTTTGTGAGAGAAGGCACTAGGGCTACAAAATCAAACGTCAAGCCTTATTCCATCCTTAAAGCGGCGTCTGATTGGACTATAATGATGGACACGTATGAAAAACAATATAAAATCCCCGAGGATATTTGTGCGTCGGCCTCCAGACCGGATATATTTTTGTTTTCGCGAATTTTAAAGCGCGTAGTGATGATAGAGCTTACGGTCCCTTGGGAAACCAACATCCCCAAAGACCATACCATCAAGGTCAACAAATATTACGAGCTCACAAACGAACTTACTCGAAATAGGTTCGTAGTAGATTTGTACGCGGTAGAGGTGGGAGCGAGAGGTATAACAGCAAAATCTCTCTATAACCTACTAAAGGACTTGGGATTGTCCAGAACTCATATTAATGCATTCTTGGATCGTACATCGAAGGCAGCCCTAGTAGGTTCTTTTCAAATTTGGTTAGGTAGGGAGAGGAGCTTGGACAGTGGAGGTGAGCGTATAACGCGCGTTAGTTAAGGGGCCCCTTAAACCTACACTTGGGTCGCAGGTCCCAGGAACTGTTGAAGTTCCTCTCCCTGCAACGCGATGGATCCGGCACCCGCACGGTGAATCCATGGAATGCTGAGAAGTTTCGTCTCATGAACAAAAGCTGACATTTGTACATGAAATGCTTTGAAAGCCGAACTACGAAAGTTTATAAACGTTCATTGCAAAGGGATATTGTTATAAAAATTTGAATATATCAAAAAGGATTGAATTAATTAACCAAAACGCCCTACTTTATAACATCCTTTACAAAAGGAATATTATATGTAGAGTACATAATTATTTGCTTTATTGTTTTGTTTAAAATATGTTTTAAAAGGGAAAAATATTTTTTTCTAAGAAATATAAGAAAAAAATTCAATCACTAAAAATGGAATAAGTATTGGGAGGTGCACCAGTATTTACAGATGCTTTTATACCAAACCATCTCTTGCTATTAATTAATTATAATTATTAGATACTGACTAATATAGCAATTGACTTTTTATTTTACTTTTTTAGACAATAAAAAAATAATTAATTAATAGGAAATTTAATACGAATGTTACAAAGCGTCTTGTTATAAAGTTAAAAGCTTCACATAATGACTTTTAAAGCCTTTTAGCACAAATTAGACAATTTTAATGGAAAGATACTTGACATATGACGTATAATTTCCAGTTACCTGAATATCTCTTGGAGTTTCATTTCAGTTAATGTTTTATAGAAAGAGTATGTGTTAGAAATGGTAAGAGTGAGAATTGTAAAAGCTTTATTAATATTTTTGTTATAAGACGCTGGTTTTATTTGAGAAATCATTTTTGTTGTATGTTTAATATCAAGAAGATAGTTATCACGTAAGTACCAAGTTAAATAAAACTATAATTTTTCGTATTTAATATCCATTTTTATTCTGCTATTCGTGAATAGTGGCCACGAGCAGACAATAAGAAAGTAAGGTCTTGAAATATATGTGTCATAATAAAATTGCGTATTAAATCTTATTAACATAGTTTCATTTAAAATGGTTAATTCTTATTTTGCTTAAGTAATTTTTATTTTAAATATATTTAAACTAAGCTTTTTATTCCAATCAAGATTGAAGAGTTATATAATATTAATTTTGTTTCTTTTAAAAACTTTTAAAACCATTTGTTATTATTATACGTATTTTTTTGAATATTATAACGTTATATTGAAATCTACAAAGTTCAATTTTTTTTTATGAAGCACATATTACTTCCTGCAAAATATAAAATAATAAAAATTTTGCAAGTTTGCCCGTGATTTGTTAACAAAGTTATCCATTGGTAGTATTACTGTCACTGTAAACTGAGCAAGTCCCTAATGAAATCTTTATCGTCATGGTCAGGATCCAATTAATTATAATTGATTTACAATCAAAATGTACATTATTATACTGCACATAAACATTTACAGTAATATTCATACATCAAAATTCTCAAACAAGAAAGCCTAATAAGAAACAGGAAACTTCTATTAAAGACAAAGCAAATACAAGTCACTGGAAAACTAATCACTTATTAGTACCCGAAATAATGACATTTTTCAGATAATTCACCTAAATATAAAAGTTAAGAAAAGTATTCTAATTTACCCTTATATCACTTTGAGATATTCAAAAATATTTTTTTTGTAAAAACAAATTCCGCTCCCAAAACAAATATTGTATAATAATATTGTGACTTTATTATTACCTTTTATCTTAAAAGGGACCTTTAATCTTTAACATTCTGAATGATCTTTTTTCCTATTGTTATACAAACCATATACTTTAAATGTAAAGTATCGTAAAAGCGTTTTCCTCAACCTTTTATTTGAAAATACCTTCAGTATTTACACGTGAAAAGTATTTGCATAAATATATATTGGTACTTTAGATTTTCCTTATTATGTCAATTTTTTTACAAAAACGTGTACGTTAAGAAGCCAATTTTTTTTTAATATTTTAAAGATATGTTCATTGGTTTTTCTTAATTTTACACATTATACATATTTATGACAATGAAAATTCTGCATTAAAAATTATACAAAAGTGTAAACTCAATTTAGGTTCGTATAAAGTTTTGTTTATTTAATGAATCGTTGAATTAGGCATTCTATGCATTTTATATAACGATTTTGATCCATTGCAACATATGATATGTTGTATTTGAATTTTTAATATAATCAAACAAAAGATAATTCATTTTATTTTTGTATCACTGTAATATTTTGAAATAAATTATTAAGATAAATATTTTTTTCTTCTTAAATTTATTTAGTTGTATATTTTTTCAAAGTTATTATATAAAATACTGTATTATTATAACATTTTTGTTATAGAAATACATATTTTCGTCAGTCAGACGAAATTATACAGTCATATTTTATGGGATTCCCCTATTTCATCCCAGGAAATTTCTTTAATCTGAAGTTAGAATGTTAGAGCACACTTTTTATTAAAATTAAACTTTAAATGTTATGAGTTATTACCCCTTGGCTAAATTATAATCGATATGGTTTAAAATGATAAAAGAGATGCTTAAAGTTCTGTCCACTATAACGTCTCTCATGTGGATGGAACTCAGTTGTAAGTTTTGCCTTATTTATTAATTTGCACATTTCAGTACAGTTTTAAAACCTATTTTTCCTCATGCTTAATAAATGAAAATGTTTATATCTTTTATAAATATTTTTTTATGAATTTAGTCTAATATTACAGACTAACCTTGCAAACGATGCCAAAACGTATGTAGTAATTTCTGGTTTATGAGCACTGTGTCATATTTTAGTCATACGAAGTACCTTCGCACAATCAACCCAACAAAAATGATAAGCCAAATGCCAAATATTAGGTTACGCAAGTATCATTACTTGTTCTTTAATTTAAATATCCCCTACAACTACTTAGAAAAGTCAGTATAATGAAATAAAATAAAATTGAAAAAAACAAATACATAGTTATTTAAAAGGCATATGAAGTACAGCTTATATATTTTTTATTGTGGCTTTTTATTTGCTATAAGTTTTTTGGAAACTAAGTAGGTATACCTTGTTATAGCGATTCGTATTTGTATACAGAATTTAATATTCACTACCTCCATACTCGAGAAGTTTTAAAAACAGTCTTTAGTCCTATTTTTTTAACTATACTTGCAGTTTGACCCAAAATTTAAATAATCCTATACATTTTACCTCAAACTTTAATTGATCTTTTCAGTTCCAATACAGTCATTGACGGAATTATAATAGAATATGTGTCAAAATCAGCAGCCTTTTGTTATAAAAAATAGAATATCCAGTTAATAAAACGGGGTCAGTTTATATGACAGTACAGTTAAAATAAAAAAATATGGTTATAAAACAAGATTCTATTCAGTGGTTGGTAAAAAAACATTGGAAATGGAATAATAAAACATTATCAGAGTTCACTGACAATACTGACACTGCATATCAATTGCTTTGAAATAATTTATTTCAAATCTCACTAACCTTATAACATGCTATGCTATGCTATGTAAAGTTATTTTTGCGACTATAAGATTATAGTAGAATTTAATTGAGGTCTGACGTAATTAAATGCAAAATACTACTATGAAATGACCAATGTGAAGTAGAACAGACAAAATTTAGAAAAACAATCTTTAATCACGTTATTGATATTTTAAGATAAACTGTTACTTTAAAAGCAGAATACCGACAATATAATAAAATTAAAGTCGAATATCTTAAAGATTCCTAATTTATAAAGAGAATGTTTCTCCATGGCCGTATTAATATTCTTGTATCACTTGAGATGATTAATCAGAATGAGTTTCCTAACAATGGTTCAGCAGAATAAGCCTTAATACTTGCAAATGATATTTATCGCTTACAATTTAAAATAAGGTTCACATTAAAATACGTATTTTTTTTTAATACATATAAATTTGGCTAAAATAACGAAGTACAAATAAAATAGCAAAATTGTAAATAAATAATTTTCACAAGTCCATTTCATAGCAGATTGTCTTTGTTAGATTGATTTTAAAAGAGAATAATTTTAATGGAATGAAATATCTTCGTCCTACCTTTTATAATCAATGCATTTGATAAAAATGTGTAAGTAATTGGCATACTTTTTAGAACGTAAGAAGTATTATAAATCTACTACATTTATAATATAGGCTTATATTACATTACTTGTAACTTGTATTACCTATATTAACTTTAAGATTAACAAGAATGATTTAAATAAAATATTAAATTAAATACTATTATAATAAGGAAAAACTTGTCAGGTCAATCAAAAAATATATTCTTCCTATGAGTTAATGTCTGAATATAATTTTGCATATGCACAAAGTACGTGTAAACACAATGTTTTATTATCTGTATATATGTATGTATATGATTTCTTCTGTATGCCCATTAAACTTACTTTTATACAAATATAAAACGTGGAAGTGAAACTAAAATCATATTTATTTAGTTAATATCTAAATGTACGAGTATTCCTCGTTATGTAAAGTAATGTTAATAAAATATTGGTATACGGATTTTTTAATCTGATTGAAACAAGAAATATAAAAAAAAACAAATACCCAACTCAGCTATCTTTTTTTTTATCAAACGAAAAAACTATAGTACAGTAATAATAGAAACATTGATTTTTTTATTATTATTTTTGAAACATTAATTGTAGGACCTAAAGAATAATCAAGGTTATTAACTTTTTCAGAATATTGAAGCACAAAATAAATAATTCATCGCTTCTTTGCCTTACTTAAACTGAGTATGCCATATTTCACATTGGCAGCTATGTCCCTCATAAATATGACATAAAACACAGTCGAAGTAATCATATCTATTCAAGATTTATACATAAGGTCAATAATAACAGTCTTAAGTGTGTCCTGTTTCGATTTATCAACTTTTCCTTGATATTTGATATATTCATTATATAGTCCAGTACATACAACAAAACTATTAGTAATATATTTTTATCA